CAGCAGAGAACTTGTGAAAGATGAGAAATGAAGAGACTCATGCCCTCACCTTCAGACCTACAGGGACACATTCACAGAGAATACAGCACACACTTCAGATGTGTGACCATGGCAGGATGTGGTTGCCATCGCTACAGTCTAATTAGTGGTGGAACTAACAACTACATGACAGGTCACCCTAGAACTCTGCATAAATATCACCTTGTAGAAGCCTTTCAATGGCCTACATGGTAGTTAACTAGATTAACTATATTTTACAACTGAAGAGGTCATACATGAAATAATGCTCCAATGTTACACAATTAGAAGGAGAGTTGATTTGAATTCTGCTCCATACGACCACAAGGTTCATGCTATACAATCTTTTTGTTTGTGTAGTGCTGGGGAATCAAACTCGGGCCTTTTTTTTTTTCTGCACTGTATACCTAACCTTATCTATTACAAATCTTAAAACACAAAAACATGCACATATACACTTCTTTAACACACACATACAACCCTGTGGTTCATATTCCTGGCTTACCTGAAGTAGATTTTTGTGAAGAAGAAAAAAAAAAATAGGAAACTCAGAATCCACCAGATATGGTAATATATCTGGCTTGTAGGTGGGGCCCAGGCACCAAAGGGAAGTGGAAAGATAGTAAGAAAAGCGGATGGTAGTAGACAGCTCCAAGGAAACAGCGTCTTCGAGACCAAACAGGACTGCTGCCCATAGGAATTCACAGAGACAATGGCAGCACTCATAAGACATGCACAGACTCAAACCAGACAAAATCCAGCACTGAGAGGGGAAGTGGACATGGGTTCCCACTCTTAACTAAAAAGATATTTGCAATTGATACCAACTAGGAAAGGGAAAATCCAGTTTTCTCCAGTGGAGTGTCACAGGGTGTGCCAGTCATACTCAAGAGCAGGCCCCTTGCCAGGTAGTTGGCCAACACAGACTCCATTTGACTTTGTACACTTTTTGTTTGATATCTTTCATATTATTGGTTTTACTTGTCTGTTTTGACTTTTGGTGGGTGTTTTGTTTTTGTTTTATTTGTGTGTGTGTGTGTGTGTGTGTGTGTGTGTGTGTGTGTTTAAGAGACAAAAAGAACATGAAATTGTGTGAGTAGGAAGGTGGGGAGACTGGTGAGAGTTGGAGGAAAGGAAAGAGTATGATCAAAATATATCATATGAAAATATTAAATGAAAAATAATTTTTTAAAAGGTAAGTTTCCATGTGATCTAATGATCAGGCAGGGTCTTGAACCTCTGGTCTAGGTCTTTCTTCCCCTTCTCTAGACTGCATCCTTGAGTATGAAAACACATTGAAGGTATGTCACTGGCCTTCACAGATGAGGCCTCTTCATCCTAGGCCTTCCCACCCCACCCCCAGGACTATAGCTAGGGAAGTCAGAGGTGATAATAATCCATATGTTTATTATGATATCATGATCCATGGGTAATTCTTACAGACAAAGAGAACATGAAAAGGTCTACTCACCTGGTATGATGACTAATTTCAGGTCTAATTTTTTATCATTCCCTAGACCAGGGAATTCTACCCTGCAGCAGTAGGTCCCATGGTCATCTACAGTCACGTTCTCTATGGTCAGGGACACATCTCCTTTGAGGAAATTCCCCCTTAGCTGGTATCTTCTGGATTTCTGATATGTCACGTTTCTTTCATCAGTGCTGACAACACCACTGCCACACCGTGACCAAGGGCAGGGTCCCTTACCCCAGCACACAGGCACAGGTGTCCCAGGGGTAGGTAGAGTGTAGCTGGAGGGCAGATATGCATTCTTACCGACCTCGACAATAACTGCGTCTTCCAAAGACCCTACACAGAGAGGGAAGGAGGGCAAGACAGTGAGGTAGTGGGTCCATTTCTGTTGGTAATGCATCACAGAATAAAAGAGGGAACTATGGATGCCCTGTTGGGAGGAGGATTGACTGTGCCAATGATTCTCTGACATCACAGGAAGCAGAGAGCCCTGTTCAAACACCTGTTACAATTGCACATGCCTATAGCCCTGGAGCTTGGCAGGTGGAGACAGGAAGATCCTGAATTAGAGACCAGACTGAACTATAAAGCAAGTTCCAGGCTAGCCTGAGTGATGAACAATCTCTCAAAAAACAAATTAGTAGTCCAGAAAATGATAACTGCTGGTAATCCCTATACTAAGGAGTCTATGGAAGAACTACAATGAGTTTGAGGCCAGCCTGGACAACCTATGCTCATTCCCTAAAATATCTGCCTCCATTGATTGAGAAGTAACATGAGAATTTGCATTTCTCTCAGTTCCCATGTGTGGGCTCTTGACCCCACCCTATCCCCCAGCAAACACACTTTTTTTCAGCCCTCAAAGAGAATTGTGAACAGTTTTTTGAAGATAAAGAACCTGACTAATGGAATCAACCTTCAGAAAAATGGGAATTGTTGGCCAGGAAAATAGCCCACATATCTGGGCTAGTTGTCTGTTCATTAATAAAAAGAAAGGCAACCTCATCCTCAATTGTAGCTTGCATATTTCAAACCCCGAAAATGTTATATTGGAGTTTAAAATCTACATGATAATGTATTCAAACCACATGAAAGATACATGAAAGCTTGACTCTCTCTCCTGACTCTTCCCATCCCCCAGATCCCCCTCCTGGAGCCCAAACATTAAAAAATGTGCACACACTGCTGTTCCCTGGCAATGCTTGCAAACATAATTGGACACCTTGATTTGCTCTGTAGCATTTTGATTGCCATCATCTATATCAGGTTGTTCAATTAGGCTCCCTGTTTGTATCATGGATATGTCAAATTTAGTTACCTGGTCTCCCATTGTTGACATTTAGGTTGCTTCCAAACAAAGGCTATTACAAATAGCATCACTATGCCCATCCTGTATCTCCATCTTGCCCTCTGTGAAATAATCTTTCTCCAACTGAAAAAGTACCAGCCCATACTTACTTGCAAGTAGCAGTAGCAGCAGCAGCAGGACACAGTTGAAAGTAAGACGTGAAAACATTAGTACTTGGCAGGGAAATCAAAGGCCAACTCTGTGCAGGCACAGCTTTAGTTGTCCAGTTAAAATGGTACTTTCTCGAACTTCTGTCTACTTCAGAATCATGAGTTCTGACTACACCCACTGAGGTCAGCCTACTTCCCAGGGTACCTGACCACCAGTGATTCCCCGTGTTAAAGTGCTAATCTAATCATCACAGAGAATGTTCCTGTTCTGTGTCATTTCACACTAGACACAGCCTGCAGGCATGCTGACGTTTATCACATGACATCAACAAAGAGGAAGCCCTATTTCAGAGAAAGAAAAATGTTAGTCATGGCAAGAGGAGAGCGTCTTCTAATACCTCAGATAAAATAACCCGAGATGGTCCATGTACAAACCCAGCTGGTTACCAGGGAACCAAAATATAAACATGTCACTCATGTATTTGTGCAGTCAAGTCACTCTCCATCCATCAAGCCTGTGACCAATGTTCTTGAAGCACCTGCTCTGATCCAGGCACTGGACTGTGAGCTAAAGAAATGAAGCCGGGCATGGTGGTGTAAACCTTTAATCCCAGACAGAAGCAGGCAGATCTGACTTTAAGGCTAGCCCGGTCTACAGAGCAAATTCAAAGACAGCCTAGACAGAGAAACCTTGCCTGGGGAGGGGAGGGGAGAGAAAAAGAGGGAGGAGGGAAGGAAGAAGGGAGAAGAGAGAGAGAGAGAAAGCAGTGAATTCCTTATCTTTACATGTATAGATTACTTTGATGTCAATTGAGAGCCCAGATATCATCCTCAATCTAATACACTTTAGAATGTAATCCATAAGCTTATTGTATCTACTTTCCTTGTTTATAATGGTATTATGAGGCAAGGAAAGTATCTCGACACCATTACAAGAGGTAACTACTCAGGAGGCTGAGTTAGGAGGTTCACTGAGTATGAGGCTACATAGGATGCCCTCTGTTAATGAGACCAAAGAAGTTGTGTCAGTTATATACGCAAAGCTCCAAAATTATTTAAGAAACGCCTACTTCCTTCTGCAATGTTTCTTGCCCAGTCTGTGAATAAAGCCGAGTGAATCTCAAGATTCCGTCCCATCTCTGTTCCCCTGGAGGAAAGGGGACTTTGAACATGAATGGTGATTATGTACTAAGTTCCAGCCACATCATTATGACCACTGTACCATGTCAGACACCAGCACTCTGTGCCATTAGAGAATGACATCTATCTAGACACCTTCAAAACCAAAGGTTTCCCACAAAGGGAAGTCACCTCACAGGCTGGGTGATTTCTAAAAACCAGGCAGGTTTTCGCTGTATTAGCCCTTCCTAGCCCTGTTACTCACCTTGACTTAGATGCATTTTTTTTTAATTTTTTATTTCATTTTTCATTCCAACCAAAGTTCTCCCTCCCACCCCTCCTCCCACCCCACTTTTTCCTCCCACTAGTCCACCACCAGTTCACTCTTCCTCAGAGGTAATGGCTCCACAAGAGTCAAAACTTGTTCAGTATGTGAAGTTCCACAGCACCATGGAATGAGGGCTACTCAATATCCTCATTTCACAGAGAGACTCAAGGAAAAAGACTGGTCCTGAGGAACCAAAAATTAACCAAAGTTTAAAAACTTAGGCCCTGAAAAGGGAACGTCTAATGGTAAAGGAAAACTTAACTCCTTAAATCAGGAGTGCCGTGGCTGGCACCTGATCCCCTGCTCTCAGAGAAGGGGAGGTAACTGTCCACCACTCTTGTTAATATCCCTTTGCTAATTATTGGTCGTAAAGATCCCCCAGCCCAAAGGATAACTGACAGAACCTGTGACCCTGTAACCCTGCAGGCCCATGCCCTGTCTTATCTCACTCAAATGTATCTCACTTAAAATATATAGCTACTGCTTTACTCTGTACTTTGTATGACCTTAAGTAACCATGGAAACTGAAATTTGTGGCCTTCAACCTTATGGTCTGCCCCTTTAAAAAGCTTCTCTTTTTGGCTGGTTGGCATCTCATTTGCCCCACCATGCAGTGAGATCCTAGCTGGCCAGCTTGAAATAAAAAGAAACCTTTTGCTTTTGCATCAGAGTGTTGACTCCTTGGGTTAGTCTCTGGGGTCCTCGAACCTGGCACAGCAGTCCCAAGGCACATGTTTAGCAATTAAAAGTAAGAACAAGCCTCGGGCCCTCCCCATCCCCACCCCCAGCACCACACTTGCATTATTATGTTGCATGAATTTAATTTTAATGTCTTTACTGTCGACCACTACAAACAACTTGTGGAAAGTATCCCAGAATGGAGAGAGGGTTACACCTGAGGTTCAGGGCCATATTTACTCTGCAAAGGCCTTGGGGAAGGCTCCCAAAGCTCCAGCCTGCAGTTCTGTGTCTTCCATTCAATGATAGTCCCTAAAACTGAGACCAACTTTTACCTCCTTGCTTTGTCTTGCTTGGTGAGTGAGTGTCTGCCCTTAGCCAACCCCTGCCCAAAACATCACTCACCCCTACCACCCCACAGCCTGCTCCTGCCAGCTTGGAGTAGACACGCCCAGGCAGGGAGGACCTCCCTGCTCCCTGAATCTGGTAGCACCCCACTCTTCCATCCCTTTCTGCCGACTGACCCAGGAACGAGGTGAGTGAGCCTCTGCCCTTACCCAACCCCCACCCAAACCATCACTCAACCCGACCAAGCCTGCCTGCTTGGAGTAAACAAGCACAGACAAGGAGGAGCTCCCTGAATCTGGAAACACCCTATTCTTCCATCTCTTTCCGCCAATGGATCCACAACCAGTGAGGAGACTACCAGGAGAGGCAAGGCCATCCAGAGTTGTGGACATTGAATTCCTGGCCCCCACACACCACTGGGTCACAAGAGGAGATAGAGAGACCCCACCTGCTCCCACTAAAAGAAGATATGGGAAGAAGACAGAATAAGATTTCACTCAACAACAGAAAGACCAATATGACACCACCAGAATCTAGGGACTCCACTCCAGCAAGATCTGAAAAGCCCAACACAGAGCATGAAGATGGGACCTCAAATATTATCTTCGGAAGATGATAGAAATCTTTAAAGAGGAAACAAGAAAAGTCCCTTAAAGAAACAGAAGAAAAACAAACAAAAATTTACAAAAAATGGATGGAAAGACAAACCAAAAAATTCAAGAAATAAACAAATCTCTTAAAGAATCTAAAGAAACCCAAGAAAAAACATCCAAACAAGTGAAGGAAGTTCTTGAAACAGTTCAAAGCATGAAAGCTGAAATAGACACAATAAAGAAAACACAGAATGAGGCGATGCTGGAAATGGAAAGGCTGGATAAA